TATTTCTCCACCTGCTTTTGCATTTAGTGTCCTTCATGAATAAGCTCGACGTGAAGTGTGGACCTTATTGTTTGCATTTAGAAATCAATGATAGGTCGTTGGTCGTTCAGAGTATTAGGAGGCCAAATATGCAATAAAATGCAAATGAATAAACATATTGACTTCCGTGTACAGAGACAAGAACTACGTGCATCACAATCTCAAACAATATGAAGAGTCAATAGTTTATTCATTGGTATTTTACCTTGAATTCCAAATGCATTAAAATGATGGTCTCGGTTTTGTGTGTGTGTGTGTGTGTGGGGGGGGGGGGGGGGGGGGGGGGGGGGGTGTTAAGTTTTTGAGAACTGGACTTTTTCAATAGAAAACAAGAACAGGTTCTGGTTTCTCCTGGGCTTTTTTTTTAGTGATTCTCATGGTCTTCTGCTCCCTTTTGTCTATAGGCACTTGACAAGTCCAAGTACAAAGATGCCCTCCGAGGGGTTAGAAGGCAGATTCCAAGGCTTGAACAGGAGCTTGATTTGCTTCGTGTTCAGGGCAAGGTCAAACCGCGAAACCAGGCTAATGCTGTTGATCATGAAGCTGATGAGGCTCGCATAGCTGATACAGAAAATGAAAGCCTTTCAAGCGGACCACTGGAAGCTTCGAGCAAACTCAAACAACTTCTAGATGATGCGAAGGAAACATATAATGATGATACAGATACGGATGATGAAATGATATCAGATTCAGAAGATCTGTCAGACATCTTCGAGACTGATTCTGGGACGGAGATGGATGAAGAGAAGGATGAACGGCCCCTATACTTGGATCAGTTTGAAAAGTTCCCGGTTCAAGATGATGAAGAGCCTGAAGATTTTGAAGAGTATTTAAAGAAGGCATCTGGAGACTCCAAAGATGGAGATTCACCAACTTTTGATGAGGTCGACCGTATGTTCATACGTGCAGCCTCTCTGTTAAGGAAAAATAGGAGGCACAACTAATAAGCCGGCCTGCTGCCTGACTCTGAGACTTAATGTGGTATATCTTGACATCTCGAATGCCATTTTCTCCAAGGTAAACTAAATCGCTGAACAATAGACATGTAGTTGGTGCAATTTACTGCCTGCCAACAGGCAAAACAAGATGAACAAAAAACATTATGGTGGCAGCGCCATTGTTTCGGTGGCCTCTACAAATTACAGGTACTAGTATGTTACGGAGTGAGATCAAACCATGGTTTCTGTGTTATCTCTTGACGCTAACTATATAATTTTATCTAGATAATGACATCTGTTGATGCTTACCTGTATGATGGTATCTGTTATATTTGCTTGTGAAACTTGCTTCATTTCTACTTCTCCCCAGGGAAAGTATAAATGGGTAATTTCTGCAATGCCCCAACGCTCTAATATGGTAAATGTCGGTCACGGAGATTACTAAAAAAAATGTTAAGTTTGGTCATTAAATTTGATTCCATACGTGGTCATTGAAATTACGGGTAAATGCCACATTTGGTCACTGAGATTACTAAATCGTGTCATATTTAATCACTCGTAAAATTTAATATCAATTTTGGTCACTTAAATTACTAAAACAGGTCACATTTAGTCACTCTCCTGTTAGTTTCCGTCCAACTCCATTAACGGGAGGTTAACGGGAGAGTGACTAAATGTGGCCTGTTTCAGTAATTCGAGTGACTAAATGTAACATGTTTAGGTAATTCGAGTGATCGGAGTTGGATGGAGGCCAACGGAAGAGTGACTAAATGTCACATGTTTCAGTAATTCGAGTGACCAAAATTGATATTAAATTTTTCTAGTGACTAATCATGACACAATTTAGTAATCTCTGTGACCAAATATGGCATTTACCCTTGAAATTACTAAAAAAATGTCTAGTTTGATCACTCTTCGTCCAACTTCGTTAATCTTTGCTTATATGTAGTCAACTCTTTAAGTAGACCGTTAAATACATGACATAGCAATTAAAAAATTTAAATTTAATAAAATTTAAATTTTCAAAACTTCCACCTCATACCATACCGCTCCCCCTTTCCTTTTTCCTTTCTCTTTCTTTCTTGCTTTCAATTTCTCCGGTAGAGCTCAAACTTGCTTTCTCACCTTCTTCTTTCTGGTTTTGGGATCCCTGTCGACCCCTCCTATTTATAGCCACGAGGAGGTAACCGCCGTAGAAAACCGCTTGTTGGATACTGTTACCAAGAACTGCTCCCTGCTTCCTCGGAGTGGTGGTTACTCCTTCACCCGCCTAGGGTGCCTCTCTTGGAACCGTCGTGGATCTTGTAGCTTGCCTCCCCTCGTCTTGTTCAAAATCTCGTGCCATGCCAATCTTTTGATAAGCATGTGGTGTCTCACAAAAAGGGGTTGTGGTCCTCTTGTGAGGCGGCCATGGACTTCTTACTCATGTCCTTGGCCTTCTTGTCTCACGACCATGGACCTCTTGGGACTTAGTCACTAGTGATATAATGCTCCACCATCACGCCATTCTCATCCGTGTCCATGGAAACTCTCCTGAGGTGGCATGGACCTCTCAATCATGCACAGGGCCCCTCTCGTGAAGCGACATGTCCTTCCCAGACTTGGAATATTTTTGGATCCTTCGAACTTGGTCATGGGCGGCATGGCCTCTTCATTCGCGACCATGGACTTCTCAGTCATGTCAGTGGCCCTTCCCGTGACACGACATGGCCTTCTCATACTTAGAATTTTTCAATAGTGCCTAGGGCCTCTTTTCTCGCGTCCATGTCCCTTCTCGTGAAGTGGCATGGACCTCTCAGACTTAGTCATTTTTCAGTCATTCAGCCTTGGTCGTAGGGCGGCATGTGCTCCTCGGTTTCTAGACGGACATGGCCCTTCTGGTTGAGGTGGCATGTGCCTCTAGATTTTAGATGGACATGGGCCTTCTCGTTGAAGTGGCATGTCTCTCTCCACACTTAGGGATTAAAATCAATACCCATAAGGCCCAACTTAAACAACATTAATTGTTATAATGGGTTTGGCCTTTAAACTCCTTGATTATCTTGTAACTCACCAATGTGGTACAAGACAAAATTTATGGTGTAAACGGGTAGCTGGCAACTCCTGGTCCCAGGTTGTCTCCCTCAGGTCTCTGGTTCGGGTCGTTATGGGAAGTTAGTCGGAAAGTTGCCGCCTTTGACTGGGAAGCTTAGGGTTTGTCTATGCCTTTCAACGAGCTCGGTGGCAAAATTCCTTATGAGATTTGGGATTTGAAGGAGCTAGAAGTGCTTGATCTAGAAAGCAACTTGTTTACCGGCGAATTCTCTGGTCAATTTGGTGGTGAGTTGACGAAATTAAGAGTTTTGAATATAGGGTTCAACATAATCCATGGAGAAATCCCTACTTCAATTTCCAGATTTGCAAGTTTGCAGGTGAAACTCGATTCTAGAGAGCCTGTGGTTCGGGTACCGATCTCGACGTGGCCAATCGACAGGGAGCAGTAGCTGAATGTGTTTTAGATGGTGGTGGTAGAGTGGGGGCTGGGGGTGGAAATTGCTTCTACTCGGATGTGTCGGCGGCGCGAGGGAACTTGAAAACGCCGGTCTACAAGAAGAAAAGATTGAGCAATAAAATATTTTTATTTTTTAATGATGAGAATAATGTGGAAATTTTGAAATATTTAATTTTTTAATTTAATAATTACCATGTCATATATTTAATGGTCAACTTAAAGAGTTGACTGCCACATAAGCAAAAATTAACGGAGTTGGAATGAGAGTGACCAAACTTGACATTTTTTAGCAATCTCGGTGACTAATTATAGCATTGAACCCTCTGATATTAACATCTTTTCAATTCCTCAGCTCAACGTTACAGACCGATAAATAGGGATGGCAATTTCGACCTGACCCGTTTTATCCGGCCTGTTTTGGGGCGGGCATGGGTACTCTCATCGACCCGACCTGTCTTGACCCGTCCCATTCTCGACCCGTTCTTGCCTAAATTACATGTAATCTTAGTCAAATTACTTAAGATTTTTCTTTTATTACGAATATTTCTAATGCTTTTCATATAAATTGCATACCCATTGGGTTGATTTGCCCCGATCTGAGACCCGTGAAATTACCCGACCTGCCACGTGGCGGGTCTGAATACCAAGAAACCCGCCCCGGATCTGCCCATTGCCATTCCTACCGATAAACAAATTGGCAAATTATGAAATCTAGGCAACTTTTTTTTGTTTTTTTTTTTTTTTTTTGAAGGGGGTATTCATTAAATGAGAACTGGAGCTCAAAGCAAGACAGGGGAGGCTGAGAATCAGCAACACTGATGGAAGGAGACAAGGAAGGAGAGCCTCTTCACCGTTGTCCACTACTTTGGTCATGTTCGTCTCATCATCAATTATAATTGTGAAGGGAGTTTGATGCTAGGCAGGGGATTGGGGTCTAGGAGGAGTTCGATCGCCATCCACCATCTAGGAAGGAAGCCTTGATCACCGTCCTCCATCGAGGAAGGAAGCTTCGATCAATCTTCGTCTGTCATTGGGGAAGGAAGCCTAGATGGAAAAGAGTAATCATGATTTAGGATTAGGTCGTTGTTTGTCTCATGAGTGGGGGCTGGAGAAGGAAGGTAGACGCATGCAAAAATGAGAAGGTTTTGTGCTGCCTAAACCCTAAAGCGACTCAGTAGGATCCGGGGGGTTTGTTAGCGGTTAGGGGTTAACCGATAAGTGAAAAAATTCTACCTAAAACCACACCAACACCTTGCAATCAGTTATCATTAACCAACTTTATCAATTCAGTATTAAAAAACCTATTATGACCCCTATATGGAGTATATAAGAAAAAATATTGGGAAAGTTCACTATTTACCTAAAACACAAAAGTTGTGTGGAGTCTAATAAGAAGAAGAAATTATATGTGTAGTGACATAAATACATTATTGGAAAAGGTTTATATTTCTTTGACAAACTACACTTCCATAGCTTTAACTTTTCGTGTTGTGACAATCATAGTTACATTTTGAAAAATACACAGATATAGCCACTTTTTTCAAACTTTCTTAACAATTTTAGCCATTTCAGTAACCTCTACATGTCGCTGAGGTGGATGCCACTTGGATGACACGTCATCGCCAACTGGGCAACTTCACGCCACATCATCTTGGGAAAAAATATTTGATGTTTTTTTTAACTTTTAATCTACCCCATTATCCGGTTCCCAGTCCTCCATTTTGTTTGTGGTCCATTCGCATTCAACTTTCCATTCTAGGTTTCCGACAGAATATCCCGCGACGTCGGCTGTAGTTTCCCCTTTGATTCCTGTCCTTGACTCTTGTAGTTCCCACCATAGTCTTCTCTATTCCCGTCGCACACGGCTCTCAACCCGCTGATGATGTAGATCTCCTTACTCTGCCCGCTCTCTTCCAGCCCACAAATCGGGTTCTCAAAGTCTGCATCTCCCAGCCGAATCATGTCACAAAGTGATGCTCGTAGGAAAGTTGTCAGGGGCGGACCCATAAATTTTACATAGGAGTGTCCTCTCCCAAATATTAAATTTAACCTAAAAATTAAAATTATATACTTATTAAATAAGAAAATATCCAACTAGTAAAACTTACATTAAAAGTCCACGGCGAAAAAATGGCTCAATACATTCGGTGTCTACACTACTCAACAAATCTCACTCTATATATTATACTAGACAAGGGTAGCTCGTACTTAGGTTTAATTGTCAGGTTTGAAAATAATTAAGGATAGGAATAAGCTTTTATTATTATATATGGATTTGAAATACAAAAAAGGTTATAGTCCAATAAAAAATATATTTATAAATAGTAGCAGTGTCCCAAGTTCAAATCACATAAACTACCACTTAAATATTATTTTTAACCATACACAAACTATTATAGGGTTGTATAATATTTTTCCTCAAACTTTATGGGGTCTCGCTATCACTTAATTTTTTTTACCCATACGCAAACTACTATCAGTAGGGGTTGAAATTGGGGTGAGTGTGGTTACTCGCCCCACATTTTGCGGGTGACCACACCCACGAATATAGAATTATGCTACCCACAACCTGCCCGCAGTGGGTAGTGGACAAGTGGTTAGCCACTACCCGCTGCGGGTTGGTGCGGGTTAGTTGTGGATACCCACAAAATTAAATATAATAATATGATAATTAAATAGTGATGTTGTGTTTCTTCTCACACAAAAACAAAAACATACATAAAAGAAAGTTAAAAAAGTGTTAAATAAATTATAAATCTCGAATACAATAGGTTAGTTAGTGTAAATTCAAATCTCGAATACAATAGGTTAGTTAGTGTAAATTCAGAAGAGATGGATTTCGAAAGAAATTTGAAAATAACGGAGATGCGGAGTGACTTGTTACCAGACAAACATCGTTGTATGTCACGGCTCCTCCGATAGTAACAACAGAAAAACACAAAAGTGGCTCGATAAGTGGAGGCGCCCGCTTTTAATGAATCGATTATTCTCCACTCTCGATTATAGTATTGTATCGTGGATAAATGGAGATGAGTTTGTGTATCATATTAACATTTATCGATTATTCCCTTCTTTTAACGAATCAATTAGTTTATCTGATTATATCTATGGACTTAGTTTTGTTATAAAATAAACATATACCACACGGACAATGCTTATTTGATAAATGTATCTCACATGAACATTGCGTATTGACTTGGTTTTGTTTTATCGATTAAGTGCGTATTTGATTTTGGTAACTACTTTAATTCTTAGTCTTCCAAGGTTCACAAACTAATATAACTAATGTGGATTACAAAGTATTTTGAAGAAATAAATAGGCAAAATACATATGTATAGCCAAAACTTTCACCTTTGTGACAATAATAGCCACTTTTGGAGAAAAATTAAAATAGCCACAATTTCAAATCTAGCCAATTCCGTTACAAACTTTCACGGTGTTAATGTCACCATCAGTTATCTAAACGGAATGCTGACTAAGATGACAACTCAGCACCCACGTCAGCGACAACTCAGCAGTTGGTGGCATGTAGATGACACGTGTCATTTTAATTAATATTTTAAGAGTCTTCATAAAAAAATTAATTTCAATTATAAAAATAAAATAATTATTACTTTCTCCTCATCCCCATGTGATCTTCCCTTTCCTTTTCGTCTCTCTACGCAGATCTGTTATTCCCAAAATAATCAAGCTCTACCACCTCCATAACTTCCCAAATCAAAACAAGAAGGAAAAATACACTTGTATAGCCAAAACTTTCGTGTTTGTGCCAATGATAGCCAATTTTGGAGAAATACCACTTATAGCCACTTTCGTCTAATTCTTTAACGGTGTCAACTAACATGCTGATTGGACTAACAAAAAGACTAATGTGGCGGTATAGTTGGAATTCACTAGAAAAAAATTAATATTAATTTATTTATTTTTCGGTTTCTCTCTCTTCTTTCCACTTCCCTTCCCTCGGCCGGCGGCCGCTGCTTCCCACAATAAAAGACAAACATACAGAGAGGGCGAAGAAGCAGAGGTAACTTGTTCATCGTCGTTCTCCAACCCCCAATGGCGGCTCGCCGTAGTTCTGCGAGGCCTCCGCACTCCTTCTAACCTCACCGTCACCACCTTTATCTCCATTTTCCTTACGACAGCCATATCAAATTCAAGCACAAGATATACATATCTACATCTTAACTGGGGATTCAAATCGGCAGCACGTGAGCTCGAACCAAATCCTAATCCCTATTCCCAAATCGCCAATCCAGATCCCCCATCAAATCATAAACCCAATCCCGATTTCCCAGATCACCAATCCCTAGTTGCCTTTGTTGATCTGCCGCCAATCCTTCGCCGCACCTAACGGTTCCTATAAGATCTAACTCAAGTTCTTCACTTCCTTAAAATTGGAATGTGCCCTGTCCCCATGATAATTCCCACTGCAACTTTACCCGAAGCTGTCGCTGATGAAGGCGGTGGATGAGAGGAGTTGGACGGGATGCCGAGTAGGAGGTCGGCAGAGACGGTGGGCGAGGTTGGGGCAAAGGTGCAGAGAGTGTTGGGGGATCTGGCGACGAAGGGGAGAAGGCTCAGGTCAGGCTGACAAGGTGGCGAGATCCAGTGGCCGACGAGGATTTGTGTTGGGCTGTGCTTTGTGGTGGCGATGATTTCATTATTCTTATTAGAGCTGTCAAAATTTTACCCGACCCGAGTAACCAGCCCGATCAACCCGACCCGCAACCCGCCCGCAATTCGATTTGACTAAAAGCCAATGACCCGTAACCCGTCCGACCCGCAACTCGACCAACCCGCAACCCGATTAACCCGAACCCATAACCGACCAACCCGCAGCCCGACTATAATAGAAGGAATTCGATGAAGATAAACCAAAAGTTGACATTTGACATTCTAGTTAACTATAGTCTGATCATTACATCATCAGTAATTGACTTAGTATAATAATATACATCATCAACCTAATAACGCATATAATATCATCAAATATTTATTTAGATACATCATCAACCTAATAGTTCAAGATGATTTGATTGGTCTTGAAGATTTGAGAGTTTATTGGTATTTAAACTAGTTTAGAAATCTTGTATAAGCATGATGATTTGGATAATTCAAGATGATTTCAATTTGGCTGGTGTTCATGCTACAAGAAATATTATTTTTAATTGTGTTGATATTTGTTTTATTGACACTAATCTTATAACTTTGAGTAGTGATTTCTTTTTTTTTTGACAAGTATTGTGCTAGCTTCATATAGTTACGATTTACGACTTACTAGGAATCACTAAAAACTAACGCGATGTTCTGATCCGTAAAACCCGCAACCCGAACCGCCCGACCCGCAACCCGATTAACCGTCACCCGATTGAACCGTAACCTGATTGGCCCGCAACCTGATTGGCCCGTAACCCGATTGACCCGCAACCCGAGTGACCCGTAACCCGAGTAACCCACAACCCGAACCCGATGAACCCGCAATCCGACCAACCCGCAACCCGAATGAACCTCGCCCGAACCCGCTCGATTGACACATCTAATTCTTCTTATTCTTCTTCTTGTCGTTGCTGCCGTCGGAGGAAGCTTGGTGGCTATGGGGAAATTGGGCTTTGCTTGAGCTTTTTAATTAAATCTAATATGTGGAGAGGAAGAATAATACGAGAGGAAATTTCCCCCTTTTGAGCTGCATCCTTATTTTAGATTAGGTCTGATTCTTTGTGGATTAGAGGGCGGGGTTGAGGAGGAAGTCACAAGAAGAAAATCGGGGAGAAGAAGCAAATTGGGGGATTTTTTAAATATTTTTAATTAATTTTATGATGTGTATTTATTAAATAATAAAATATGACCTGTATTTTTCTACTTATTCGGCGCTGACGTGTCCGCTAAGTTTGAGCTTAGTCAGCAAATTGTTAAAGAAGTTGACGGTATTACTAACACCGTTAAAATATCTAACAGAAATGGCTATATTTGTCCTACAACAACTACAAAAACTGGCTATAAGTGGTATTTCTCCAAAATTGGCTATTATTGTCATAAATGCGAAAGTTTTGGCTATACAAATGTATTTTGCCAAACAAGAATACAATATCAATCTCTAGCCATCAACCGTAAGAACATCATAAATCAAAGCAAAATGAATCTCATCAAACACACCGACGACCTCTTCTCCCGCATCCGCCAGTGAAACCGGATTCGTCGACCCCCATGGCGGCGTCGAAAGCAGATGAGGTGATCGATTCTCCTTCCTTGTCGCTTGGCGCTCGATTCTCCTTCATTGTTGTTTGTCTAGGCCCTGGATTTGAGGCATCGAAGAAGAACCACTTCCTCCTCGGCCACACCCACCTCCACAGTCCCTCTCCTCCGCCGTCCATATCCTTCCCCCCTTCGAATCGCACATCATCCTTGTCGCCCTCCCCGAGAAGACGGAGGAGCGAGTCAATCGCTAAGTTCCTGGACTCGGCACCCCCGATCTGGAAGTGGAAGCCGGGAAGTCGCTGGAATCGACGAGCAGGGGAAGTCGACGACCCCAACCTCCCCGAGCGCCCTCATCCCACCGTCGCTGTTGTATCACCTCTGCATCTAGTCGCCGCCAGCTCATGTTGCCTCAATGCCGAGTTTCCATCGCCGTCCAGGCCATCGAAGAAAGGAGGAACATGGAGCAAGTGTTGAAGAAGAGCAAGCGTTGAAAAGTAGATTGGAGGAAAGGAAGGGATGACACTGTCCGAACAAATATCGCCAAGTCAGCATTTTTGTTTGTCCATTCAGCCTATTAGTTGACACCGTTAAAGAATTGGACGGAAGTGGCTATAAGTGGTATTTCTCCAAAATTGGCTATTATTGGCAAAACCTCGAAAGTTTTGGCTATACAAGTGTATTTTTCCAAATAAATATGACTAATGTGGTTTATATGGATTTTGTGGGTAAACAGCTGTGGGTAGTGGTGAACTACTAACCACAAAAATCAACATTTTGCTACCCATGCCCAACCCACTATCCACAAATTGTGGGTATGGGTATCCACAAAGTGTGGTGTGCTGACCAAACTTCCACCCCTACAAGCTCCATGGATTTGCCACTGAACATTGCTAGGGATGTTTGTTAATTCTAGGTCAATGAGCATCAAAAGTGGAGGTGTTTCTTCTGTTTTGTCGAATCTTAACCATGAAAGTCAGTCAATGTTGGCTTCCTCTCAGAGCTGGGATCCTCACGACCCTTTCCTTGATTGCCTGAGTGAGGATCGGAAGAAGCTCAGCTGCCATTATTCTTTGCAAGTGCAAAGTCCCACATATGGTACAAACTTCTAGGACCGAGACGAATCCCTGCAAGCAATTTTTTGGTTGACTTTTTTGGTTGGTAAACAAATATATATTTTGGATGCTCTTTTCTATAATGTTTGGTGGTTGGGGATGGTCATGTTGCAGGATTTGAAAGGGGTGCAAATTTTTTAAGTGGGTGAAATCCAATAATGATGTATCAGAGGCAAGAAACAATGAGGTGGACTGTATGATGATGAAGTTGGAAGAAAGCTTAAGGTTGGTCGAGACTAAGGCATAGAGGAGGAAGAAGGAAAACAAATGATGTAGGAAGAGCTAAGAAATTGGATAAAAGTTCACGAAGATAGAATAGTTGAAGCTCAAAGCTTAAATAATGAAATACGTGTGATGAGATATATGTTGATTGTTTTCTTGGTTCTGAATGTCTTCTTGATTGTGGTTCTGTGGAAGCAGGAATTTAGTATGTAATTGGTCGAAGTTGAACATTCACTTGGACTCCGGAATTTTCCAATGTAATTTGTTATGTGTAATGTGGTATGCAATTTGTTATCTTAGCAAGGTGGTATGTAACAATAATAGTTTCACTAGAATCAATCTTGGCAACTTGGTATGTTATCTATAATTTGGTAGGGTAACAATAGTAGTTTTATTATTGAACAACATCCTAACAAAAGATAGTCTGGAGCAGTACTTAACAAGCATCATCATGCTTAACCGCATGCTAACGTCTTAACTTGGATTGTTTCAATATTTAACGACCTCCTAACATACATAGTTTCCTTCAACTACACCTAGAATACTGCTTGCTACTTATGGGAGATTAAAGTTGTTACATGAATCAACCAAAATAGCCACTAACAAGGTCGGTTTTAGGGCTAGTATAAAAAATGACTCATGACAAAAAAACTTGACTTCTAAGGTTGTGTTGGTGGCGATTGGCTCCTTTTCAAATCCACCTCAGTAGGTTGACTCACACAAATTGGCAGCCGCAGACCACCTCCAGTATGTCTCCCATGAGGCCCATTCAGCTACAGTTAGTAAATGATCACCAGAAATCAATAACTAAAAGGACACAAATGTTTGACAAAGTAGACTTGGTTGATTTGATCACTTTAATCACCCTAACATATTGGTTACTAGTGGTCTCATCAACATAAACACCAACTCCTATCGTTGCATTGCGTAGGTCTCTTTAAATTGTAACTCGATCGGCAACATTCAATCTCACATCCTGGAAGTAAAAGAGTTCACATTTAAGCTTATATTCAACTACATTTTCGTCATCCCATAATACCAGAAAACATGACAAAGTATACTTACTTGTATCCTCACACCTCTATTCAATGGGCATGTCCTTGCACTGTGTGTGGACTGGCCACAAGCAAAAAAAATTAGTTTACAACACCTAACTGTTCATAAAACACTACTAATTTCATTAATCAAGAGAGCTCTAATTTTACCTTTTGCTAGTCTGATATTTCTTTCAACCCCCTTCCATCTATTAATCTCGGCTCTTGAGTTAAAATTCTGACAAAAAATGACCAAGAGTTGCTATTTTCCCCCTCCACTATGGCCCAGACAATTGGAAACATGTGGTTATTTCTATCTTTCCCAAGTGAAGAAAGAAGCATTCCCTTCACCTCTCCTTTCAGAAAACAATCGTCAAGACCAAACATAGGTCGACATCCCTCTAAGAACCCAACCCTCAAATTAAAAAAAAAATGAATACACAAATGTTGGAAGAAGCACTTATCTCTGTCTGGGTGCACCTCTACATCTAGTATGAAACGCCCCTCCGGATCTCCCTACATCAACTCATCAACATAACTTCTAAGTAGCTTATACCCATCAGCCAAGGACCCACTTAAGATCTTTATTGGCTCCACTTTAGGTCGGTAGCAAGTTCTCTTCTTTACTTCCATGTTATGCTTTAATTTCATCTTGACCATAATCTCATCCGGATCCCACTCTGACTTAATTTTAAATATCTCTAGCATGTCTGAGGCTATCCACTTTGTTGTTACTTGGTAACTCGAAGACTGGAAGACGTCTTGCACAGGAATCTGGCATCCCTAGATTCGTGATATTCGTCATCTGAAGTCATGGCATCATCAAAGTCATACACATGGTAGATATCTTGTGCAATGGATGCATGTGCATGCCTTTTCATGCCCAATCTGATTTCTATAACAATTTTGTCATTCTCTAACATGCAATTTCTATCACCAGATCTGTAAATTATAATAAATAACACAATTGCCACGGATATTAGAGGCAACACAAAATATTCAATAATCTCAACCATAATCCTTAAATAACAATCTTACATAGTAAAATAACATTCTAATCTTTACAATGCCTCCGTCTATTCCAATTTGAAGGACAACCCTACAAGTTCACCTTAAAAGAAAAGTTCTACAGACAACCAAAAGTTTTGAGAGACCATGGCGCATATGTTCCTTGTTCATCCTGGATCTAGCTTTCTCTGACTTCTTTCCCTTCAACCTAAAACAAGGTATTAGAGTACTTTTGGGGCAGACCAAGAGTTGAACCAAAGTGTTTTACTAGCATTCTTAAGACCCGTGAGAAGCATCTGAAAAAATAAATACAATCTTACTGAAAAAGAAGTTGACAAAAGAGTGGATTTCAGAATCCAATTGAAGTATATATTCACTATATATTAGTGAAGCAATCTCACCTAAATGTTGGTAGATCGGATTACTACCAAGAACTTAGTCCCTTAGATGCTCATAAAGAGTATTAATCATCACCAAAAAACAATAGAGTTTTGTTAGGCTAACCACAAAACTATGAGTATATACCCATTAATGTCATAGCCCTAGATAGCCATTCATCCAATGGAAAAACCTTAAGTTAAATTAGGATGCATACTAACGTACAACTTCTATTGGTGTTAGTTGAACTGTTTTTGCTACTACTACTATTACTTTTAATGCTGCTAGATTTATTGGTTATGTCACTGCTGGCTGCTGCTAATTTTACTGGTGTTGGTTTGAAACTCTAAAAGCATTGCTTAGCATCTCTTTAAAGAATAGTGAGATAAATAGCATAAGTAAGAGAAACAAAGATAGAACTTAGATCCAACGTGTTATAAAAAAAACATCTAAAGGGAGATGGGAACTAAGCAAAACACAAACTCAAATCTTAACTAGAAATAAGAGAATTGAAAGTGCATCCCCCTTTCTAACCCAAATCTTGCATCACCAATCCTCAACCGAAAATTTGACATATACAAGATTGAGGAACATACAGGTAAGTAGTAGATGGCACATATTTTCATTCTCATTAAGTTGCATAATTCAATACTTGAGAACACGAGACACAACTCAAGGTAATAGAAGCTTAATGCAAAGTTGCAGTCTTGCGAACCAAGTTAGTTGAAACTACAAAACTGGAGGCTAGTTGTTTAGGCTTGAGGGGGTTCTATAAGAAACCAATTAAACCATCGATTTTGCTTCACAATCCAATCAAACGGTTGCTACCAAACTTAGTAAGAACCTCTATTGCAACTTATCTCAAACTTGAAGAAGCTGAAATTAAACTTTTACTCCCAGAACCACCAATAGAGAGTTCCACCTCCTGAAACCAGATGACATCAAAATAGGTACTACAACTAAGTGTCTTTTGGGTGATTAAGTACACCTCTGGGCAACTCTGTTCTAAATTAATGATATTTGATTCCCACTATTCAATATTGCCCTGTAAACAAAGAGAAGAAGGAAAGTAAATCAAGAATACACCTCCATCAACAATGGACGAGGTTAAGAGGAAAATGGGCCTCGCAGTACCAAATCTTGCAGTACGGGATAACTGGGTGTTTCTTGAAAGGACTTCTTAGCAGCAACGAGTCTCTCACAGTCTTAGCTGGAACGGGAAACCGAGCCTGCACAATCAAAATTGTGATTCTCATAAAGAGAATCAAAATCATAGCTTCGATGGAAAGAGAACGAATAATCGGTAACACTTAACTTCGATATAGATTTGACAAGAAGAAGATGAGAAGAGGGAAACAAAATGAGATAATCGAAATACCGAACATTGGAGGCTGCTATGGAGGAGCTTGGAGGAAACCAAATATCTTTCCACCGTCGCTCAGGACAACGATTTAAATAGTGTGTTGGATGACTGTTGATTTCGTCAAGGAGGGATTAGATTTCGTCGACAGTGCATGGCTTCGACGACTTCCTTTGAGAATTCATCGCCTTCATCTTCTCCATCGACGGCTGGACCAACCATGGAAAGTGAGGCAAAAAGTTAAGGATATGACTCTGCGTTGGAGAACTGACGATTGGTTTCAATTTTGCAAAAGAGGAAACAAAATGGTGAGAATACGAAAAACAATGATTAGATAAAAATAGAAAGGTAAAGGTAGCAATCCTTTTGATTTTTTTGTTCTTCGTGTTGTGGTATCGAATGGTCGAAATGAAAGTTTTTTGGGGGGAACTTGAGGGGAATTTTTGACAGAAATGTCAAAAAAGAGGAGGAAATTTTCTTTCGCGACTATTTGATGTAGGGTTGAAAGTTTTTTGAATATTTTAATTTTTGGAGGGAAGTTTGATATGGTTTAGAAAATTTTGAAGCAAAATTACATTGCTCTCCTACATTTTGAAAATTTTATTTTGTCGAAGTTAAGTTGTTAAATTGTTCACGGGATTTAATAGTTACCAATCATTAATTAGGGTAAAAAAGATTGGATAATAGATAAATTTCTTCTCGTGACTAGAAATATACTACTAATTACGGCAAACATTTCGTGACTTTTTGCTTATTTCTTAGTACAGAAAAATTTCTCGTGAAGAAGTCACGTTGATTATAAACTAGTTTTGATGTAGTGCAATAATGAAAATTATAGTTTATTTACGCCAAAACTATAACTTATGGCGTTTCCAACAGAACCAACACAAAATAAAAAAAAAATTGATTTGGTCATACAACCAATACAACATAAGGACACAAAATATAAATTTGGTGTCGGTTAAGTGAACCTACACAACACAATCGACGGAAAATGACAATATACTTGTAGTGTAAGATTTTTTTCATAGTTCATGATTTAAGACTTAGAGTTTAGGGTCAGGGTTGTTAGAACCAGACGAGAAATCAACAATGTAAGAAAGTAAAAAGCACATAGATTTACGTGATTCACTAACACTATGTATCTTAACTACGTCACCTTACAAAAGAGACCAGTTTCACTATACTTGACTAGGATACCACTTATGATGGGGATGAGATGTATTTATAACACCTTCTTCAATAGGACGGAAATATAAAAGCATATTTTGTATGATCCCAGCGAGACGGCTGTGATTTTCACTTGACAGCAGAAAACCATGCTTCAAATCACACTAACAAGGTTTATTCATCATAGTTTAGGGCTTTTGTCATGGTTTAGTGTTTTTGTCATACTAAATTTTCATTTATCAATTAATATGACAAACTCGATTGTAGGCATAAATATCAACTAGCATATATTGTGACAAACCTATTATTTTGTCACTACATACATTTTATGTTTGCCATCACAAGTTCCCGTCAATTCATACACATTATTTGTATATTTACAAGTTTATATGATCGAATTTTGTTTGTCATGATAGAAACAAAAATGTTAAATATTAAAGTGCGCCTATGGTGCCTTGCAAGTCACCGTAACTTGCACAATTTGGTCGACCTATGCATAATTTAGGTCGACCAAATTCACTATCGTGGTCACTCGAATGAAATGTTATGGTCGACCTTTAATATATAGTGGTCGACCGTTTTAAGTTAGTTGATAAGTTAATGGTTGACCACAATAAAATTTTGGTTGACAATGTAGTCAGAAGCAAAATGGTGGCCCGTAAACGTAACAAGGTCGACCACTTGATGACATTCATGATCAAAAGGTCGACCAGATCAAAAGTCAAAAGTACTATCTATTCATCCATCCCCTTCACGTGAAACGTAGATTGAAAGTGTTGGTCTTGCGTTCGACCTCATAGATCAAATCTATTCATCCATCCCCTTTACGTAACAAGAAGGGCCTTTCGGGACAAAGATCAAATCTTTACCTGCTAAGGCATTTCGCATGTATGAAATTTGGGGATTCTGTTCTTATTCAATGCTTATCTGTTCTTATTCTTCGACGCTTGTCGTTGGTTTGAGCCTCTCTACGAGTCTCTTCATTTCAAATTGAATTGGTCGTGGTTCTGGTTTCCGATCGATCATCAATGTCCTCCTCTCCATCTCCGATCAAGGCCCCGATGGGGACGCCTCACCGACATGCATTAATGCAGGGTTCTACAGACTGAGGTAATTTTGGAATAACCCTTGATTATCGGCTTGACATTAAATGGTTTATTTCCCCCTATTAGTCAATTAAGAGGATTTACTCCTCAATTACTTTATGTTAATCAATTGTGAAGGTTATTACCATGTAACCTATTTTTAACATCTTATTTTGATTGTCCTCCTCTCTTGCCACCAACGGTGCATTGATCACCATCGGTGGTGGTTAATTCTAGACATTAAATGTGTTTCCTGATATGTATGTTAAAACTTTTAACTCCGTCCATCATTAATTGAGTTGTTTAATTCCATTTACCGACTTCGTGTAATACCTTATAGGGAGATTTGTATTAATTGTTATAATTATTTTTCTCCCTTTTTAAATGTCATTATTGACTTTCCTTTAATAGGGTGCTCTTGGACTAATTTTTCTTTTCTTTATTGATTACAGGTCATTCATCTCCATTATTATATCATATATGAGTAGCAATGTATTATTCTTTTTTTGGTCACTAATTATATTACGTTTTTATTTTTCTTTAGTGGAATTTATTATCAATTTCCATTGAGATTATGCCTCTTTCTAAATGGTAGATTATAATATCTTTAGATATGGATTTCTAGTATTATAGTGGATCTTTTTGAGTTCACCATATTGCAGGGGAACCTTATAGTAATTAAGATACACAAAGAACGAGCAATCAACCTCATCAAATTATCAGTTAAGGTCATTTGCTCTTGTTAAATAATACATGTTATTAGTGATGCCTATTAGATGGTGACTCACTCATTATATCTTGTCTTTTTCTTATGAGGAAATTATCAACTGATCATTGGAGATGCTTCAGAGAGGAAGACTCCATTACGAAGGAAGTTTCTCTTTCTCTCTTCTCTCACTCTGTGTCAGTTTCGTGTCTTTTTACTCTTCGGAGCGTTCACAGAGCTGCCCACCTCGTGGCATAATAGGCTCTTTCTTCGGGAGTCCGGTTGTATACGGACTACCGTTCATTATTGTAGTTTTTTTATTGTTGTTGTCCGGCCATGCCTTGGGGGCTTATCTTGGATAAAAAAAAAATAGGTCGATCTCGTATAGAAAAATTAGCCTATGACCTTCGAGTTTTTGGTTATGTATGTCGATGTGTGTGTTCGTTTTCTCGTACAAATTACGTTTGAAACCAACAGAATCAAGTCCTCAATCATCATAGCAAGAAACCATAACTTCATAACATAACAACTTAACACCTCATAATTGTTCACACATACCTAAAATAGAAAACCACATAATATCATTCCACTATCATAGGTGATTCAAACCAAATCGTCTTAAAGACTTAACAACTAAAGAACACAATCTAAAATCATGTAGTTCCTAGACATCTACCCTCTCTCACTCATTCGCATTTTCCTCATTGGTGGTGCTAGCATTATGGTAGTCGGATGTGGTGGGATGCATGTATCTTTCACCGAAAGATCGAAATTCATCTCGCATCTATGTTACCATCACTTGTAGTGTGCTCATCTTCCCCATGTAGTTGTACATGTCAGTCATCTGTGTGCACATCTTCCCCATGTAGTCGTACATGCCATTCATGTGGTCTCATATATGATCTAGGGTGACTGGAGGAGCTGAACTATGTGGTTGCGTCATTGGCTTGTCTCTGGGCTCTTCCTCCTCCTCATCATCAGCAGCAGCAACATCATCATCATAATCATCATGGACTACATGAGGATTGTATGCTCGGACATACACACCATCATGCATCTCAAATCCCATCTTTTTCAGGGATGTAACTGTGTAGAACTCCTGCCTTGTGACTTTTAAGCCAACCTCTTCACTAAAATTCACACTAAAATGCTCAAATAGCAAAGTCAGGATCATCCCATAGGGAAGATTCCCATTTGAACTCTCTGCAACAACAAGCATGTGTTTAAAGATCTAGTATGGCAAGTTCACCTTCTCATGTGAAAGTAGGTTGGCAAGGAGCTCCATATCAAAGTAGTTGATTACCTCCCGATGTCCACCCTTTGGAAGAATGTTGTAGGAGAGAATGTGGTGAAAAAATATGGCTTGAACTATCAGTTGGCGAATAGTTAGCCTACTATGATCCTAAATATCTTCCTCTTCAGGAAGACCACATACAGTCTGAATTTTTCTGACTTTCGAGAAATGAGTTTCATTCAAAGCATTATAAGAATCGATTCTCTTCCGCTGGTTTGGATTCTCCAGTACTGCTGCCAGCACACTCTTGTTGATACGCATCTCCACCCCATTCACATAGCTTTTAAGAGAATGAATCCATCCGTTTGCAGAACGCTGATAGATGATGTTGTTGTAGAAGTACTGTACCAATTTTGGGTAGTATGATACATCGAGAGATATCACCTTCAGCCAATCTTGTTCCACAAATGATTCCATGAACCCTTAATCTTCTAAATGAGCATATGCATCAGTCGTCAATGGCCTTCCAGGAGCCACCCTGCGGTTGTGCATTCTCCACTCTTCATATTTGTCACTTTGCTCCTTGGTTTGGTACATAGTTGGGTTGAACTCTTCCCATTCAGAACTTGAGGCAGCCAATTTCTCTGACTTTCTTTTCTTCTTTCCTCGAAACATCCTAAGATCAAAGAAGTGACAATTCATGTTAACCAAATGAAGAAACCAAACAGACTCCATCGACCTATGTGGAAACAGTTTGACCTATACTCTGCATGCATCGACAAATCAAACAGAATTGGTCGACCTCAAACAAAATAGGTCAACCTTTGTTTGCAAGCGATTGCAAAAACATCAAAAAATTAGTCCAATTTTCTAGTATCATGAAACCAAACATTATAGGTAGACCTGACCGTAAATAGGTCGACCTATTATTGCAAGCAGAAGCAAAATCAAACAAAAATTAGTCCATCTTGCTAACATCGACGAAACCGAATGAAATAGGTCAACCTCATATGGAATAAGGTCGACCTTTTTTTGCAAACAAAATCTAAAAATTGCCATAACTTCTGCATAAATCGACGAAACCAAACATCATCGGTCGACCTCAAGCATACTAGGTCAACCTTTGTTTGCAAGCAAAAGCAAAAACCATTAAAAAATTATTCCAATTTGCTAGTATCACAAAACCAAACATTATTGGTCGACCTAATTGTAAATAGGTTGACCTATTTTTGCAAGCCGAAGCAAAATCAAACAAAAAATGATTCCACCTTACTTCCACTGATTCTGGCGAACACTTAGATTTAAATCATCATCTTATTGCACCAAACAATATCGGCCTAGCATGGATGAAGAAGGCCGACCTAATTACAATTAGAAAACCTACAGATTTTAGGGGTTTGAAATCAAATCGTAACAAATCATTATACTATTGCAGACAGATCTGGAAAACCAGCGAAAGGATGTGGTCGACCGATTTTGGAGAATAGCAGTCAAAAATCTGATTTTTACAGCTTTGGGGGTTTCGTAAAAACAATCTAATCTAATATGAACAAACAAAAACTAACTCAAATGACAAGAACATATGAAAAAATATCTTATTCTTCTTATTAACAACTGAGAATCAAATAGAATGAAGGTTTTGGTGCTTCTTCTAGGGTTTTTTGGTGGAAGAAGACGAAGGGAAAGGAGATAAAAGAAGAAAGAGGTGAAGGTAGAAAATGAGTGGAGGAGTATGTTGAATAGTGGAGTAAAAGGGGTAGGAGGATAGGGGTCGACCGGTATTTGCTGATTAGTTAACCACAAACGATCTTCGGCCGATACTGAAAAATTACCTTGGCAAATAAGGTCGACCACTTATGCATAAGGTCAACCAGAGTAAGAATCGGAGTACACCAACACACGATCATAATAAGGACGATGATATTAGGGGTGGGCAACAGGACCGAACTGGGGACCTATCCCGTTTGAACGGTGCAAAGGAGGTTTCCCGTTTCAGTAAGAAGGAGGGCGGGTAGTACAGGTATTAACGAATAACTCGTGGGTACCCGCTGTAGAACTTCTTCATCCCATGTCCCATCCCGTAAAAAGAATTCCGAGTATTTGGGTACCCGTAACCCTAAAAAAGGGATAGGTATGGGTATTTCCAAATACCCGTTTACCATTGTACACCCCTAGATGATATTACAACTCCACACCAACAAATCGCATAAATTGGATTATGATGGAAGTCTTAAGACTTCATCTAATTATAGAGAATATAGACGAAGTCATTATCCTTACTAGTATGGGCAACACTTATTCCAAACAGTCAAGGATACACAAAATCCTAATTCGCCAAGGAAAAGTACACAAAAATCATGCACATATAGGTCGATCGTTTTTGCTAGAGGAGAAAATCACCAGAACTGAATCATTATTCGACATCATTTAGGAGCTAACTAAAATTGCCATAGGTCGAACAAAAGTAGACGAGGTCGACCATTTTGTTTCCCTGGTCGACCGCTTTGAGTAAATGATTCATACTCTAAATTTATTTAAATCCATCATTATATAACTAATCAAATAAACGAAAATATTGAATATCCGAAAGGAAACAACCTCGCAAATCAAAATTTAATATATTGTCTAAAAATTGAAATATTGTAACCGAATGATATAATTTCTTTGCTTTTTTGTCCGAACTCTTTCTCTCTTTCCTAGTTCCACGCATTCATCTACAACATGCTTGAAAAAGATTTTCTCATGCACTGTTTCCAAAATGTGTAGCCAGATACCATAGAATCTCCTTTCGAACCGGTAATTTGTGTTCTTCTCCTATCTCCATTATGGCATATAACACTTTGTTAGAACTAAAAAACAAATTTAAGCAAGTTTTTTGGTTGACGATATACTAACCACTCTATCCAGATCTTTGGATCCATAGCACATCCAGTGCATCACGTGCACACCACACTCGGTACTATTCTTTTGCCCTTGAACGCGTAGCTCTTCGATATTGAAATCTCCAAAATTTGGTACTGCTGCATTGCTCATGTGCTCCGGTTTGAAAATATCATGCAGTTTGGACAACTACACACAAACAATGAATATTATATCCTTCTAGCAGTATACGTGACACTTAGTAGTCAGAAAATTATAGGAAAAACTTACCATTTTCTTGCAGTGGTTTGATTTACGCTTACGACCTGCCTCACTAGTTGCTGGTAGACTGTCAAGGAAAAATGCGTTTTTTTGTTGAACACTGACGAGATACAGAAACCAATGACGTGCGTCATGGTCCCGAACTGGCATAAATATCTAGCAAATGGAAAGTATGTTATAAAATGAGAATTCAAACAAATGCACTTTGAAAACTTAATGAGATAGGGACATTGACTAATCTTCTGGCATGCACTAACATTCGGCATAAACACCAAGCCATCATCTAGCAACTTGTTACGAATTTTTTCGGTCTCCATGTTACTGCTTACAATTTTCTGCACCATATTTTTATTAAGATTAATTGACATGGTACAATAATAATAACTAGGTTATGATAAATAAATAAATAAAAATTATGACTCTTACCATAACATATTTGGCAAATACCACACATTTGGCTCTTTATTCTCATTTTTTCAGACATTGTTAGTGCCCTTGCACACAAATCCAATATCTATAAGCCAACAATCAACCACAAAATCCTCGTAAATCATAACAGAAACAGTGCACAATTCATACCAAAATCCTCCACTTTCATGACCTACAACTCAGAGTTAAAATTTAAAGTTACATATGAAAACAAATACACATTTTCAATTTATAGATCAATATGTAACGCAAACTTACTGCGTGCTTTTCGAAAGGACTCTTAGATTCATTTTCGTCTCTATCAACACTAAATAATCATTTTCTTACTAAATGATCCTTTTGTGGAGTGGTTTAGGAGTCACTTTCATATCGAGGTTTCTTGTACTTAGGAGAGGAAACATTGCTGTCAAATGTTGTTTCACTCTGTCAATCATATAAATAAAACAAATTAGCACTAATGATAGTAATACTAATATCTTCACTCGCATATGATTATACTTTCACCTTCAACTTGTGATCTTTATTAAATCGTCTATGCTCTGGTATCAATTTGAAGAGTCATCATGGTCTTCCTCCTCTTCATCAAAGTCAAATTTCTTTCAGTTACCATCTCTTCCTCCCTTCTCCATTCGTTCTACACGTATTTCTTTGGTAGCATCTTCTAGCCTCTAAAAACCATCATGCATCATCCCAGTCATATCTGTCAATCGAACTAGCAACTGCTACAGTGTATCACACATGGACTTGTGATAGTAATTGAATTCTTTTCGACACACCACAATCTGATCTTGTGTGGCTTTCAACACTTTCATAATTTCACCCTCATCTTGTTGTTGTTTCTCATCATGAGCCATCGTCTAATAATTTAAAGCAAAATTCAAATCAGAATTCAACTTCATTTTCTTACAAATGACCAACAACAGAGACGTGGTCAACCCGAAATATTATAAGTTCGGCCTTAAAGACATAATTTGTTACTACCAGAACTAATTAGGTCGACCTTTGATCTTCCCAGGTCGACCTATCTAGCAAAATAATACCAATTTACCAACAAAAACATGTGTAATACTAACTCAAACAATTGATAGGTTGACCAGACACATTGACATGCCGACCTTTTAAGCACAACAGAGTCTTACAAACAAAGCTAAAGTCGAAATTCTGGATAAACAAACAAAACAAACATAAACAGACGACCATGATAAGAATTGGGTCGACCTATTGGATTTGATCTTCTCACAATTGTCAAACAGAGGCCGACCTAATTGAAAGAAAGATTGATCGAACGTTCTTGTGAACGCAAACAAAACATCAAATTAAACGGAGCAAATTAAGAAATAGAAAAGACGACGACAATAGCTAATATCGGTCGACCTCACCTTTCAAGGGGTCGAGCTCTTCAAACACGTACAGGA